TGTTAAACCATTGTCAAACACTTGTTTTATTTGGTTACACCACAATTCCAGGCAAGACCAGTGGTAGTTGAGCTCACTCAAAACGTGAAGAAGAAAACTTCATGTTGAAATGACTCCTCCAGAACTTGGTGTAATTCTCTTGAGGGCAGAGTGCAGGAAACTGCATTTAAAAGCTCACTTTATTTGGAGAATATCTCTCCGTGTGGTATGTGGAGAAATATTTAAATTCTCTTGTCAATGGAAAAACTGTGGGCAGAGCCGAGGGACCGAAAATAGAGCTTCCGACAACATTCATTCGGTCAGCAAAGTTTATGTAGTACAGCGGTCCACCATCAGGGAAGACTCTGGACCCCTCCCTCAGGGGACATTGGGCAATTTCTGGAGAATACGTTGATTGTCGTGACTGAGGAGGTGCTACTGTCCTCAGATCAAGGCCAGGGATGCTGCTAAATAGCCTGCAATGCATGGGGCAGCCATGTGCAACAAAGAACCATCAGGCCCAAAATGTCAGTGGTGCTGCTGAGAAACCCTGTTCTGTGACTTTACTCTGCTGGAGGGGTATAATCATATATGTATATGTGTGTATGTGTATATATATATATTTTTTTCTTTAAAGTGAAATACATAGATCTTCTTCGACTTTGATGTGGTTACATCATGATGTGGTTACAGTAAATTATCGTAAGTTGAGAACACGTCAAAAATGCCCTTAATATGCCTAATCCAGCAGACATGATAGCTTAGCCTAACCCACTTTCAGTGTGCTCAGAACACTTAACTTCAGCCTAGAGTGAATAAAATCATCTCACACAAACCATTTTATAACAAAGTGTTGAATAGCTTGTGTCATTTATTGAATATGGACAGTGAGAAACCGAATGGTTGTGTGTTGGTTGGTTACCTTCCTGACCGCAGGACTGACAAGCTGTGCCTGCCACCGCCCAAGCATCCCGAGAGTCCGTCCATATTTCACTAGCCCAGGAAAAGATAAGACTATGAAGGATAGTTTCAACTGAATGTGTTACTTTCCAAGGGTACAGTTCAGTGATACTAAGTACATCCAAAATGTGTAACCATCACCTCTGTTTCCAGAACCTCTGCATCATTCCAAACAAATTCTGTAACCATGGGCAATAAGTAACTCCCTGTTGCCTCCCCTCCCCTCCCAGCCCCGGTGACTTCCATTCTGCTTGCTGTGCTCATGAATTTGACTCTGCTAGGTATTTCATGTAAGTGGTGTCCTGTAATACGTATCCTTTTAAACTTGGCTTGTTTCACCTGGCCTCATGGTTCCCAGGGTATTGCAGCACGTGTCAGGACTGCATACTTCATTGTGTGTATATACACCATGTGTTACTTATCCGTTCATCTTGGGTTGTTTCTACCTTGTGGCTGTTGTGAATGATGCCGCAGTGAACACTGGCATACTGAAACTTCAATTCTGGTTATCTACCCAGGAGTCGAATTGCTAGGTTATATTGGTAGTTCTATGTATAGTTTGAGAAGCTGCCAAGGTATAGACCTAGATTTGGTCCAGGAGCGAAAATTGAAAATCCATAAAAGACTTTTTTTAAAGAAAAATTGGGCAAATTTTTTTTAAGATTTTTATTAGAGGGGTGCCTGGGTGGCTCAGTCAGTCGTTAAGCGTCTGCCTTCGGCTCAGGTCATGATCCCAGAGTCCTGGGATTGAGACCTGCATCGGGCTCCCTGCTCCGCGGGAAGCCTGCTTCTCCCTCTCCCACTCTCCCTGCTTGTGTTCCCTCTCTCACTGTGTCTCTCTCTGTCAAATAAATAAAATCTTAAAAAAAAAAGATTTTTTTTAGAGGGACGCCTGGGTGGCTCAGTTGGTTAAGCGGCTGCCTTCGGCCTGGGTCATGATCCTAGAGTCCTGGGATAGAGTCCCACATCGGGCTCCTTGCTCAGCAGGGAGCCTGCTTCTCCCTCTCTCTCCCTCTGCTTGTGCTCTCTCTGTCAAATAAATAAAAATCTTAAAAAAAAAAAAAAGGTTTTTATTAGAAAGCACAAGCAGGGGGAGGGGCAGAGGGAGAAGGAGAAGCAGACTCCCCACTCAGCAGGGAGCCTGAGGTGACATGGGGCTCTCCATCCCAGGACTCCAGGATAATGACCTGAGCCAAAGTCAGATGCTTAACCGACTGAGCCATCCAGGTGACCTGGAAATTGGGCAAATTTTAATACGGATCTTAGAGTAGATGATATTCCTGAATAAATACTAGTTTTCTTGGGGACATAGTTCACTAGGAGAACCTTATTAGGAGATAAATGATGAATTCAGAGATAAAAGTTGTTGTGACGTCTGCAAATCAAAGGTTTAACAGAGTACGTCAAGAGTGGTAGCACACGGGCAAATGTGATGAAATGTTCATAATGACTAAATCAGGTGAAGGGTATGCAAGTGTTCATGTACTAGCCTTTCAACTTTTTTTTTTCAGGTTTAAAGTATTCCAAAATAAAAAGTTATAAAGAGAAATAGAAGCCAGAAGTAAACCCTTAGATAGTCGAATGATACTCTACAAGGGTGCTAAGACCATTCAGTGAGAAAAGGCAAGGTTTTTTTGATAGTACCAAGATGACCATACACACACACACACACACACACACACACACACTGAGTAGAGCTGACACAATGTTACATTAGTTTTAGGTGTACAATTTAGTGATTTGGCAAGTTTATGCATTACGCTATGTTCACAAGTGTAGCTGCCATCTGTCCTGTTCTATCGCTATTTAATGTCACTATTTTCCTTATGCTCTGCCAAAAGGACCGTGTTTTCAACAAATGGTGCTGGGAACACTGGGTGTCTATGCGCAAAAGAATGAAATTAGACGCACTGTTACACCATATACAAGAAATAAACTCAAAATGGATCAAAGACTCAAAATGTAAGGGCGAAAACTATAAAACCCTCAGAAGAAAACAGACATCATGACCCTGGGTTTGGCATTATTTTGTGCATATCTTACCACAATAAGGTCAGGGAAAGATATAATATCATGAGGACAAATAAAATGGTTCTATAGAAAATAAACCGTTTACAAAGTACCGACCACGTGCAGAGGGCTACAGCAGTCAGTAAATGAGACTTGTGAGAAAGACAACAGAGGTGTTGGCACGTTTCCTCCTCGTTGGTTCCACCGGTACTGACGAGGTCTGACGAGGTCATATTTGGAGAAGACACACGGGAGCCATGCTGCCTGAGTTCAAATCCTGATTTCTGTCCTTTCCACCTGTGGATGTAGGCAAGTTACTTTATCTTTCTCTACCTCAGTTTCCTTATGTCCAAAGGGAGAATTGGACCTACTTCATAGGGTGGTTGTGAACACTGAGTTGATATGTATAAAGCATTTAGAAGAGTGCTTGGCACATGGCAGTGCTTGTTAAATGTGAGCTCTTGTTTTTATTATAGAATAAGGGGCGCAGTACCCATAAGAACTTTTAATTTGCTGGAGTCTTTACTGGGAATTATGTTTCTGTAAAACAGCCACTGATAACCGTTGGGTGTCATTAGCCTTGTTAGTTCTCTGGGTTGAGGCAAGCAGTCCCAGCCAGCTTGGATAAGATGTTCAACTGCTGTCCCTCAAGTCCCTGATAATGGGCTCCTTGTTGGTCAAGTTCAAATCAATGGAATCTGCCTTCCGTGAACACAGACCTCTGTGTGTGTCTTGAACAGCCCCTTATGGTTCGTTTCAGGGAAGCAGCATCCTCCCTCATGTAGCTCTCGTGCATATTGGTTCTGGTGGATATTTAACAGCATATTTGCTAGGGAGCCTCCCAGCTGTGCCTAAGTGTTTTTTTGTTTGTTTATTTATTTGAGAGAGAGAATGAGATAGAGAGAGAGAGCATGAGAAGGGGGAGGGAGTGCTTAAGTGTTTTAACAAAGCTGCCCAGAGCAAACCAAGGAAGGGCTGCCAGAATCCAGTTCTATAAACTAAAATCCTCTCAGTGTAAATGCCGGATTCTAAGGAAGTAGGGTAATTAAAAGCCAATTTTAATGATTTTTTAGGGCAGGAGAATCTTGAGAATGCTTCCTTTTTTTTCGGATGCAGAGCTTATATTTATAACCTTATAGACTCTAGGCACTCCTCCAACATCCTATTATAAGATGCATCCAATGTTCTATGTGGGATATATTTTTTTGCTGGAAAAATTTTATAAGACTTATGACACTAAATAAATGGAGTCTTTAAAAAAAAAATTTTTTTATTTGACAGAGAAAGACACAGCGAGAGAGGGAACACAGGCAGGGGGAGTGGGAGAGGGAGAAGCAGGCCTCCCGCCGAGCAGGGAGCCCGATGCCGGGCTCGATCCCAGGACCCCGGGATCATGACCTGAGCCGCAGGCAGACGCCTAACGACTGAGCCACCCAGGCGCCCAGCAAAGATTTAAATTTTATTGGGAACTGTAATTAGCCCATTTCAGATATTGTATCACCAATAGCAATATTTGTAGCTATTCAGAATGGATGCATTTGTGTTTAGCACTATTTTTATTTTTTTAAAGTAGACTCCATGCCCAATGCGGGGAGTCACATGCTCTACCAACTGAGCCAGCTAGGCACTCCAGCACTTGTTTTTAAATATCACTCACAAAGAAATTCAACAGTATTCAGTTGAATATTGTTATGTGTATCCAAACTTCATTATAATAGGCACAGCATCTGCTTACTTCACTGTCTTTTAGTGCTTCCCTACCCACTTATTTTCATACTGATACGTATTATTTCATGATCAACTACTGTACCTCTCTGTTCCTTATTCTTTATTTAGTGGTTAATCATATTGAATTTCTGAAATTGTGCGTGTAGGCAGGCTGTGTTAGCTGTTTTTTTCCCTCAGGACAGTAAAAGCGGCCTGAGATAGTATTTGTGAAACGCCCAACCCCTCGAGTCGGCCCCGCCCCACAGGCCCCGCCCCTTGCATCGGACCCCGCCCCTAGGACCTTCCGCCACATTCAATATGGCGGCGATTCCGGTCCGCCGAGCGGCTTGAGTAGGTCGCCAGTGGCGCGTTCCACTCCAATCATGGCGGCCCCCCAACAGGCTGCGGGCGGCGAGGCTCTGGAAACGTGCGGTCTGGAGAGCATTTTGGAGGCGCTGAAGCTGCTGCTGAGCCCGGGAGGTGAGAGGACGGATCTCGGCGCCGGGCTGCACTCTCAGGGCCGCCAGTCTTCCCGGGCTGCCCTGCCTTCCGTAGTGTGCGCCCCTCAGGCCCTCCTTGGGACCCCCAGCTCTGAGGCTGCCCCGTCCCGCTCCTGGGGGCTTTGGGCATTGTCGGTCCAGCCTCATTTTACTTGAGGAAGCCGAAGCTCAGGAAGGGTATGGGATCCGCTGAATACTGATGGTAACCGACGTCTCTTGAGCGCTTACCTTGTGCCAGGCACTCACTATTAAGCGCCCTGGGTACATGGTTCCATTCAGTCCTGACTGTCACCCTCTGAGGTAGGGACTGCGGCAAGAGCTTCCAAAACGGTAGGCGCTCCTGACGCGGAAAGTGAGGTCCAACCTCTTGAGTGCGCAGGGTCTAATGTGGACGCTGGAGATTTGTACAGAATTCCGAGGCGTAGAGAAAAAGGAAGCAGTGGCCTTTGAGCTGGATTTCGGGAGAGTATTAGGGATATAGTCACTTTTAATCTTTCGTGATGAGTTAACAAGATGTTCCCAGTTGAGAATCTGAAGGGACCGTGGCAGTGGTTGAGCCTCGCAGTCTCCTTTTACACCTGAGGACACTTAAGGCTCACTGAAGGGAAAGTAACCTGCCCCAGATCATGTGGTCAAATTAGGGGCGGAACACAGACCCAGAACCGAGGTCTGCCGAACTCCATTCTCAAACCAAGGCAAATTATTCAGTATGGAGCCTCTGATGTTATCTGAAGCTTTGAGAAAGGAAACAAGAGATAGGATTGCATAATGTGCAGGAAGGGGTTTGTAGGGTGAGCAGGGTAAGGTACATGAAGGGCCATGAAGTGATGTTCCAAGTGATTTTGAGATACCCGCCCTCCAAATGCAAAAACTCCCACAAACATTGTACCATATCTGGGAGAAGCGAAAAGAAGTCATTAATAACAGCAATTGAGTGCCTACTAAGTATCAGGCCCAATAGTATGCTGTTTACATGTATATTATTTCATCTTCACGACAGTTCCATGAGATAGGTATTACTTGTATTTCATTTTACATATGAGGAACCAAGGCTCAGGTACATTGGAAGTTGGTATAATGTCAGTCTAGTAAGTGGTAGAGCCAGGATATATATATATTTTTTTAAGATTTCATTTATTAGAGAGCACAGAGGAAGAGTGAGAGGGAGAAGCAGACTCCCGGCTGAACAGGGAGCTTGATGCTGGGCTTGATCCCAGGACCCTGGGATCACCACTCGAGCCAGCGGCAGACGCCCAGCCTACTGAGCTGCTCAGGCACCCGGAACCAGCATATTTTTTAATTTTTTAAGTAGGCTGTATGCGCAATGTGGGTCTTGAACTCACCACCCCAAGATCAAGAGTCGCATGCTCTGTCCACTTAGCCAAACAGCCATAGCCAGGTTGGGTTTTTGTTGTTGTTTTTTAAATTATTTATTTGACCGAGAGAGAAGGAACAAGCCCGAGGGAGAGGCAGAGGAAGAGGGAGAAGCGGATTCCCCGCTGAGCAGGCAGCCCAACGGGGCTCCATCCCAGGACCCAGGCACCCCCGGATGTTTTTTAATTTATTTTTTTATTTTAAGTTCCAGTATAGTTAATATACAGTGTTACATTAGTTTCAGGTGTACAATATAGTGATTCAATTGCATACACCACCTGGTGATCATCACAACAAGTGCACTCCTTAATCCCCATCACCTGTATCACCCATCCCTCCACCCACCTCCCCTCTGGTAACTATCAGTTTGTTCTCTATAGTTAAGAGTCTGTTTCTTGGTTTGTCTCTCTCTCCTTTGCTTGTGTTTTTCGTTTCTTTCTTAAATTCCACATATGAGTGAGATCATATGGTATTTGTCTATCTCTGACTTATTTTGCTTAGCATTATACTCTCTACCTCCATCCATATTGTTGCACACGGCAAGATTTCATTCTTTTTTATGGTTGAATAATATTCATACACACACACACACACACCCCACATCTTCTTTATCCATTCATTTATTGATGGACAGCACTTGGGCTGCTCCCATAATTGGGCTACTGTAAATAATGCTGCAATAAACATAGGGGTGCTTATATCCTTTTGAATGAGTGTTTTCGTATTCTTTGGGTAAATACCCAGTAGTGTGATTATTGGATTGTAGAGTAGTTCTATTTTTATTTATTTTTTTAAAGATTTTATTTATTTATTTGAGACAGACAGAATGAGAGAGAGAGAGCACATGAGAGGGGGGAGGGTCAGAGGGAGAAGCAG